CCAGATTAATGATTTAACGTCCCCCCTGAGCTCCCTGCTGCCCACAGGAGCACCAGTGAAGGTCACTGGGAACCACCCCAGCTCCCTGGCTCCATGTGCATGGCTGGGACTGGTTTGGGGAGGGTCGAGCCCTCCCTCTACCCACACCGGAGCCAAGGGAAAACCTGGGAAATAGGGAATTTTCCTGCGGGAGGCAGCAGGGGGCTGCTGGCTGGGAGATGATTCCTTGTGCTGTAGGACAGTGCTCCCCCATGGAAGCGCCACTCGTGTGCTGCTTTATGGCCCCACGCTGCCGGTGGATGGACAAAGTTTGTTTTTATTTCAGTGCCGCTCTCCGTGTCCCCATGCCGGACTTTGCCCGGCCGGGTGATTCCCACCGGGGCTGCCACGTGTGCCCGGCATGCCCGGGGGGGAAAACGCCCGTGCCTGCAGGGAGAGGGGATGGAGGGCAGCGTGCAGGGCAGGGCAATGTCCCTGCCAGCAGCAGCACAGCTTTGTCACAGGAGCCGAGCAGGGACCGGCTGCGGAGCACCTCACAAAAGATATTCCACCGGGAAATATCCTTCAGCAAGAGGAAAAGATATTTCAGGTGTTTAACCAGGGTGGGGGGGCATGGGTGATGCATAAAATCACAGAATCCTGGCGTGGTTTGGGCTGGAAGGGACCTTGGAGCTCACCCAGTCCCTCTGCCTTGGGGAGCAGGCAGGGACAGCTTCCCCTACCCCAGGCTGCTCCAAAGCAGCTTTGAGCACTTCCAGGAACGGAGCAGCCACAGCTGCTGGGGTCTCACCACCCTCACAGCCAACAATTTCCTCCTAATCTCTAATCTCCACCTCCCCTCCTTCACTTTAAAGCCACCAAAGCACTCCCAGCTCCCACTCTGCTCCCTGTTTGCAGAGCTCCTGCAGCCAGGGTGACCCGGCTCCCTCCCAGCGCTGTCCCAGCTCCACGGAGGGCAGCAGGAATGTGCTGAGTGCGGGCAAACCGGCGGGGATAAACACATCCCACATCCCCCAGCCCCCTGCCCCCTGCCCTGCCACCTTCGGGGGAGACAACCCCCGGCAGGAGCCTGCAAGGGAGCTTGTGCCAGGCAGGAGGGAATGCCCGTGCCAGGCAGGAGGGAATGCCCTGCCAGGGAAGGGCCAGCCCTGCTCCGTGCCAGGGAAGGGCCAGCCCTGCTCCGTGCCCGCCCTGCTCCGTGCCAGGGAAGGGCCGGCCCTGCTCCGTGCCAGGGAAGGGCCAGTCCTGCTCCGTGCCAGGGAAGGGCCAGCCCTGCTCCGTGCCAGGGAAGGGCCAGCCCTGCTCCGTGCCGCCGAGCCGGGCTCTGGGCTGCATTCCCGTGCCCTTTGGGGCGTTGGGAAAGTTGCTGGCACCGTGCCCAGCTCCGGAGCCAAAGCCAGGCGGGCCCAGACTTCCCTGGGGCTGGCCAGAGCCAAACCGTGCCAGCAGCAGGGGTGGCTGCAGCTGAGCCCCGCTTCTGGCTCCGCCAGGGACAGAGGGACTCCAAGGAAAACAGGGGAATTGTCTCCTTGCTCTTGCGCTGCCGGTGCTGGAGGGGACGTGGCACCGGTGGCGCCAGGGCAGCCGGGTCCTGGGGCGATCCCAGGCTCCTGCCCTGCTCCACGGGGAGGCAGAGCCGAAGTTCCCGGGGTGCCAGAGCCCGGGGGAGCTGCTCCTGCCCGGCTCCGGGCGGGATGGCCGCTCTGGGAAGGGGGACGTGCCCGGACTCTGCAGGAGCTGGGCACGGGGGCAGCGCGGTGACACGGGGCTGGTGGCACCGGGGACAGCGCGGTGACACGGGGCTGGTGGCACCGGAGGCAGTGCTGTGACACGGGGCTGGTGGCACCGGGGACAGGCGGCTGCCGGAGCAGAGGCCGCCCCTGGAAGGCGCAGGCTGGCGTTCGCTCTGCTCCTGCCCGCGGGATGCAGCGGCTCCGGAGGGGCTGGGAACACTCGGAGGGGCTGGGAACACTCCCCCTGCCCTGGCACGGCAGCCTGGGGTGGCCCTGGCACGGCAGCCTGGGGTGGCCCGGCCAAGGGACACAGCGGGATTTTCCACAGCACGGGATGGCCGAGGGGCCAGCGGGGCGGGACAAAGGTCCCGGGTGGGCCGGGCCGGGCAGGGAAACAAGGGAGAGGATCAGGGACAGCCCAACAAGGCCGGCAGGAGCCAAGGGACAGGGAGCAGCAGCTCCTGGCACTGCTCCGGGCTCAGGGCCGGGACCACCCCGAGGCAGCCCCGGGAAGGGCCCCGGTACCTCCGGCGGGGATGGGCCTTTGTCACCTCTCGCTGACGCTGTTTGATGGTTGGTCTCATTCCCAAAAACTGAAATTAAACAACTCGATGCTCTTTCGTGCGGGAAGCACCTCCGCAGCTGGCCCAGACGTCCTCCCCCGTCGAGGGCTCCAGCGGGCATCTCCCACATCCCTGGGGTTAACCCATTGCTCCCCAAGCTGCCTCCGGCCTCGGGCAGCCCAGCGAGCATCTGGGGTGAGGATCTGCCAGGGAAGGAAGAGCTGAGCCCCTCGGCAGAGCCCGAGCCCCCCTGAGCCCCGACCCCGCGATGCCAGACACGGAGGGGAGGGCAGGCCCAGCCTAGAGAATGATGAAAGTCAGGATTAAAGGGCGGGGGGGGAGCAAAACACCCCGGCCGCTTTTGGCAGGCGATGAAAGGAAGGTTTAGCAGCAGCTGCCAGCTGGGAGCTGACGGAGGGACAGCTGCGGGTCCGGCTTCATCCCGGGCCGAGGCACCGCACATCCCCGCACGGCCACCCCCTGTCCCCGCAGCAGGAGCGAGGGAAACGGGAATCCTGCGGATGCTCGGGAAAAGGGAGAGCCGGGAAAACTCCGCGTCCCTGCTGCTGCTGCTGGGGAAACGGGACAAGGGAAAACTCCCCATCCCTGCTGCTGGGGAAACGGGACAAGGGAAAACTCCCCATCCCTGCTGCTGGGGAAACGGGACAAGGGAAAACTCCCCGTCCCTGCTGCTGCTCGGGAAAAGGGAGAGCCGGGAAAACTCCCCGTCCATGCTGCTGCTGGGGAAAAGGGAGAGCCGGGAAAACTCCCCGTCCATGCTGCTGCTGGGGAAAAGGGACAGCCAGGAAAGTCGCGCCCGGCCGGGAAAGCGCAGGGCCAGCGCAGTGTCAGAGCTTTCAGGGCTTTGCTGCCGGCCCCGGGAGGGACAGAAGAGGCTTCAGCTGCTTCCCAGCTGCCCCCATCCGAGACAGATTTAGCTCAGGGCCGGCACAGATGGGGCTGCGGGGCCGGAGCCACAGGCAGAGCCCTCGAGCCCTCAGTTGCTAATAGAGATAGAGCAAATTAAGCGAACTTAATTCGGAGGGTCACCGCACAATGCCCCCACCTGTTTCGCTGCGCTCCGGCCATCTGCCGCCCCTGCACCTGATGCAAAAAGGGCTTTTCTCGCTTTCCCCCGACGCCGTGGGCTCCCTTGAGCCGTGTCGGGTCTCACCAGCAGCAGGACGGGGCAGGGCCGGGCGGGGGGACAGAACAAACCCTGAGAGTTCCCTCCCGGAGCCGGCACAGCCGGGGGGCACAGAAATCACCCTCTGCATTCTGCTGCAGAAACGCTTTGATGTGCCCCTGAACGTTCCCGGTTGGACAGGACATGGAGCAACCTGGGGTGCTGGGAGCTGTCCCTGCCCACGGCAGGAGGAGGCACAAAACCATCCCTGGGGTCCCTTCCAGCCCAAACCATGCCAGGATTCTGTGATGTCCCATTTGCCCACGGCCAGCTCAGGGGCTCTGCAGGAGGTGCACGGAGCCGGCATCACTGTGCTGTGGAAAACAGCTCCTGGTGCTCAGGGGCTGCAGGAAAACACTGACACAACCAAACTTCAAAGGACACGTTGCCAAAACCTCCATGAGGGACCACCAAGGGTCCTGAGTGCAGCCTGTGGAGCCGGTGGGAATGTGCCAGCCCACAGCCAGGTTGGGAAAGAGCTCAGGCTGTGGGAGGATGGAGGGGTTTGGGTGCAACAGCTGAGAAAGCTTTGACACAGCAGCCATCAGGAGAAGTCCTGCCCGGAGGTCTCAGGGCTGACACGGGACATCTGGAGCAGGAGCAGCTTCCTGGAGGAGCACCGAGTTCCTGGAAAGCTGCAAAGGGAGAGAGCACAGAACCACAGACCAGTTTGGGGTGGAAGGGACCTTAAATCCCACCCAGTGCCACCCCTGCCATGGGTGGACTGTCCACCCTGGGGCCTTCCACTGTCCCAGGCCGCTCCCAGCCCTGCCCAGCCTGGCCTGGGACACTGCAGGGATGGGGCAGCCACGTTGTTTCCTGTGCCAAACACTGGCCCTGTGTTTGAAGTTGGTGAGGCTGAGTCTGAGCACAGGGGAGCTCCCTGCAAGGAGCACTGCAAGAGTGCAATCCCTGTGGGGCAAAGAACAGCATCCATCCAAGGGGGAATCCTGTCCCACTGCCCCTCACAGGTGAGGCCCCACCTGCAGAGCTGTCCCAGCCCTGGAGAGAGCCCAGAGGAATCCATGGAGCTGCTGCAGGGCTGGAGCCCCTCTGGAGCCAGGCTGGGACACCTGGGGGTGCTCCCCTGGACAGGAGAAGGATCCAGGGAGAGCTCAGAGCCCCTGGCAGGGCCTGGAGGGGCTCCAGGAGAGCTGCAGAGGGACTGGGGACAGGGGATGGAGGGACAGGAGCCAGGGAATGGCTCCCAGTGCCAGAGGGCAGGGATGGATATTGGGAATTGGGAATTGTTCCTGGGAGAGGCTGGGATGGAATTCCCAGATTTGCTGTGGCTGCCCCTGGATCCCCGGCAGTGCCCAAGGCCAGGCTGGATGGGCTCCAGGGCAGGGTCACTGTCACGGTTCCATTCCCAATCCGGGTCCCGGTCCCAAACAGGGCCAGGCCCGGCCGGACTTGGCAACTTTACGGGCGTGGTCTCATTTGCATGAGCCAATGGGAGCGGGGTATGCAAATGAGGGCGGCCGGGGCGGGCGGGGCAGCGCGCGCGGGGCGCCTTTGTGCGGCTCGGGCGGCGGGGCCGGAGCGGCCGCAGCGGCCGGAGCGCGGTGTCCGCCCCTGTCCCTGTCCGAGCCCCGAGCGGCCCTGGCCCCGTGATGACTCTGGAGGAGCTGCCCGGGGAGCGCCGCGCCGCCGGGAGGTGAGGCCGGGGGGCGGCGGGGGCCGGGCGGGGAGCGGCGCGGGGTGGCCGGTGACGGCCGGTGTGTCCCGGCGTGTCCCGGCGCAGGATGGAGCAGGCGGGGGACGCGCTCGAGGAGGTGCTGAGCAAGGCGCTGAGCCAGCGGAGCCTCACCCTCGGCGTCTACGAGGCGGCCAAGCTGCTGAACGTGTGAGTGCCCCCCCGTGCCCGTGCCCGTGGCCGCCGGTGCCCGCTGCCCGGTGCGCCCGCGGTGACGGCGGTGCCCCGCAGGGACCCCGATAACGTGGTGCTGTGCCTGCTGGCGGCCGAGGAGGAGGAGGCGGGGGACGCGGCGCTGCAGATCCACTTCACGCTGCTGCGGGCCTTCTGCTGCGAGAACGACATCAACATCCTGCGCGTCAGCAACCCGGCGCGCCTGGCCGAGCTGCTGCTGCCCGCCGCGGGCCCCGACCCGCCCGCCGACCTGCACTGCGTGCTCGTCACGGTGAGCCCCGGCTGCCACCGCGGGGGGACACCCACGGGTCCCCGGCGCCGCTCCGGACCCCCCCGAACCGCCGCGCCCGGGGCTCGAACCCGCGGCCTCAGCTGCCGGCGCCGGGGGCCCGCGGTGCCTCCCGGGGACAGCGGCTGCCGTCGCCCCTCGTTTGCTGTGCTGTCCCCGTCTTCCTCCTTTGTTTCTCCCCTCTTTCTCCTGTTCTGTCTTTTCTTTCCTTAGTTTTCCTCTTCACCCCATTCCCTCTTTATTTTCCCCCCATTCCCTCTTTATTTTTCCCCCACTCCCTCTTTATTTTTCCCCTTTTCTTTCCCTCTTTCCCCTTGTTGTTCTCTCCCTTCCCCCCCCACCTTTTATCTCTCCCTCCTGTTTTTTTCGCCCGTCCCTACTCTGCCCCAGAGTCCAAAGCTAAACTCCTCACATGCTCCCAGGCCTGACTTGTTTGTTTGCCTCGCCAGCAATTTAAGATGATTCACGCTCCTGCTCTTTCTGCCGTGCTCCCCCCCACCCCTCCTCCCCGCGCCGCTCTCGGGTTGTTTTTGCTGCCGTGCCGGAGCTTTTTGCCGTCCCCTTTCCAGAACCCGCAGGCGTCGCAGTGGAAGGACCCAGCGCTGAGTCAGCTGATGTGTTTCTGCCGGGAGAGCCGGTACCTGGACCAGTGGGAGCCGGTGATCAACCTCCCGGAGCGGTGACCCCGGCCCGGCTCTGCCGCCGCCGCAGACTCTCTCGCTCAGGAAGGAACTCCCTGCCCCGGCTCCGGGAGGGGAGGGAGGGAAAATAAAACCCGACAGCAGCAACAAAAAAGAAAAAAAAAAAAAAAAAAGATATAAAATGATAAAGCTAAAACTGATGTCATTTGGGGGGGTTTGGCTGGAGCTGAGCAGTGTGGGAGCTGAGGAGAACAGGGATGAGCCCAGCCCGATGCCCTCCCCAAAAGTCCCCTCACTCCTTCTGTCCTTAAGTGCCACTTAAAGTTCCTGCTTTAAACACCTTAACGAGCAAACGAGGTTAATCGAGGCCTTTTGCCAGCAATGTTGTTGTATTTTTGGGATGTAATTCTCACGTTTTTATGCTAAGATATATAATAATAATAAGTTATTTTCTGATATCAACGGAAAAATTATTTATACTTGGAGGTTTGAGAACCGAAACGCCCTCGAGCAGTTGGTCTGCAACCACGAATCTTCTCCCAGCTGGCTGCAAAAGCAGCACCATTAATATAATTGTTTGAAATTCGAGTGTTTTCTGGGGTTATGGTGTTCTTGTTTTGTGTTTTCTTCTTTTTTTTTTTGAAATAAAGTGTAAAATCAAACCTTTGGCCCGGGCTTTTATTTCCTCGCTCCACGAGTGCAGACACAAGGGCTGAGCAGCAGCTGCTTCCTCCTCCTGGCCATGGGCAAGGTCCTGTTGTGCAGCTCCAGTGTGGGTTCATTCCCGGCCCCTCCCAAGCAATTAAAGGCTGAAGCAGCCCATGTGCTGCAGGAAATGTTGGGAATGCTATTTATTTATTTATTTAGTTCGTTAGTTTGAACGCTGCCACAACGGGAGCTAAAAAAAATAAATAAAATCTAACAAAAAGAGGCTTTGCTGCCGAGGTTTCTGTGCTCCTGCAGCTCCTCCTTGGAATCCTCATTCCCTGGGGGAGGAGAACCTGGCCCGGGGTTTCCTTGCAAAGCCCCGGGATTTGTTTGCACCTCCTGGGCTCCTCTTCACTGACACAGCCAGGCTGGCACAGGTGGCATTTCTGCGTGTGGCAGGACAAGGCCACCCCTGCCTGGGGCCAGCAGTGACACACGCTGTCCCCCCAGCCCGGGCACGGGGGAGCCTGGACCTGTTCTCCCGCTCCTGGGATGCTCCAGCACGAGGCCACCCTGTCCCTGTGCCCAGCCCAGCTGCCACCCCGTGCCCGGGGACACCGCAGCAGCAGCAGCAGCAGCACCAGATTTATTTCTCCAAGCTCAGATTGAATCCAAACCCCACTGGTTTCTCCCAGTGTCACCCCAGCCCTGTCCCCACACCACAAACTGGGGGATCCTGGGGGCACCTGGCCCAGCACACAAATTCTCCTTTTTCTCCCCCAATCAGCACAAAAATTCTCCTTTTTCTCCCCAGATCAGCACACAAATCCTCATTTTCCTCCCCAGATCAGCACACAAATCCTCATTTTCCTCCCCAGATCAGCCAGCTTGGCCTAGAACAAGAGGGGCAGCCCAGTGATGCCCCGTGGTGGGGTCTCACCATGGGCTTCTCCCAACACCTGTGGATGCAATGGCTTCACTTCTTTTTTAAAAAAAATCTGCTAGGGCAGAGTCTGCATTTCCCCAGATTTTACAATTCCTGTTCTTTCTGGGGGTATTGATGGCAAAAAGCAAAGCGCAAACGTAACCACTCCAGATTTCAGTGTATATATTGCGTTTTAAAAATGGCAAGTTTACCAAGAATCCCTGGATTAAACGCTGTCAGATCTGTGCTGGATCACCCGGCACCAAAACATCCCTGCAGCCCCACCGGGGATCTCAAACCAAACAAAAAAATTCCAATTTTCTTCCCAGATTCCTGGGAAAACAACCACCAAGAGCACGAGGCTCCTTCCCTCCCCAGAGCCCCCTGCAGCTGTGCACAGCTGGAATTCTCTCAGCCCCACGCTGAGCAATTAACAGAGCTCGTTAATTGTGACCAGGGCTGTGACAAACACACACAGACACGGTGGAGAGGAATTAGTGCAGAGCCACATTGTTGGTTTTTTTTTCCAACCGCCACTAGAAAAATACTCTGATTACAAAAATAATTGGCAGGCAAGCAGAGGGTAAGCAGCAGGTTTCTCTGTCAGGCTGGTTTTTGGGGCTCTGCCAAAGAGATTTGTCAAACAAAGTTGAATTTTTTATTCTGTATCAAAAGTGGGTCTATAATTTCATATAGAAATGACAAATGTGCAACATAAATGACAAGTGGTTCATGAATTCTGCAAATACCCTCCCAGAAATGCAGGCTTCTGGCAGATGCCTTCAGCTGCCTGCACAGGAGGACATTTGCAGCCAGCTGAAACCAGGATTATTTTTGAACCCTTCAAATTTTGCTGTTAATATATAAAGTTTATATATCTACACACACACACAGAGAAAGACTTTTTTATTATGTGTATATATAAAATATATACTAGATGGAAAGGCCCTCAATTATAGATGCATAACCACAAGCTGGAGCTAATTTGGCATTTTTCCTGTTTAAAAATGGATTTTTTTTTATAAAAATGAGTCAAGTTCTGACTCCCTGCTCAGAACCCAGCTGGGATTGGGAGCGAGGGCAGCGTTCCTCCAGCTCTGCCAGGGCACTTCCAGCCTCTCTTTCTTTTCTCATTTCTTTGAGGGTGTGTTTTATACTAACACAGGTGTTTTATTTGAGAAAAAAACGCAGCAGAATCCAAGGTGGAAATTCTGCTTTTCCAACTCACAGAAAGCAGGGGAAGCATCTCTGATTCCCATCTCTATCCTTTGAAAGCCCTGGGATGAGAGGCCAGCAGGAGGAAGGCTGAGGCAGAGCTCCCTGGAGCTCCCCAGCAGCTGCTACAATCATTTTGCAAGGTAGATTTTGCTAGAAAATGCACTTTTAAGTGTGCCTGTGCACAAACAGGTGCTGCTGCCAGCACAGGCACAACCCCCCCACCCCCCAAAAAACCAAACCAAAACAAAAAAAAAATCCATAATTTTATAAAATGTAAACCCAGTGATTCCATCAGGTCTCTACAGCTTTGCTTTATCTGCAAAGCTCAGGCAACTTTGGTCGTGCTGGAGTTGGCAAATGCCACCAGGACCCCCCGTGCAGAGACCCTGGAGCCCATTCCCTTGGCCAGGACAGGCAGGGGCTGAGCCAGAAAGCTCCAAAGGGGGACAGGGGTCAGCAGGAACGCCTTGGGGAGCTCAGGGAATGCTCTGGGCAGGCTCAGGGGTGCCCACGGGGCGCAGGTACCTGGGGGAGTGGTGCTGCTTGGCCCGGCCCAGCTGGGCTGCAGGGGCTGGGCAGGAGGAGCTGCCCCTGCCCTATAACAAAATGCAGGTTTTCTTGTCCTTGAAGGGGTTCTCAGAGGCTGGAATGCCCATCAGCAGGGGATCCTTCTTGGCGTGCTCCTCACAGTACAGCATCAGGTCAGCCGAGGCCTTGGACACCTGCAGGGCACAGAAACCAGCAAAAATGGGGTTGGCCAAGGAAATGGCACCAAAATGGGGCTCAGGGCACAGAAATCAGCAAAAATGGGGTTGGCCAAGGAAATGGCACCAAAATGGGGCTCAGGAAACCAGCAAAAATGGGGTTGGCCAAGGAAATGGCACCAAAATGGGGCTCAGGAAATCAGCAAAAATGGGGTTTGCCATGGAAATGGCACCAAAATGGGGCTCAGGAAACCATCACAAAATGGGGTTTGCCGTGGAAATGGCAGCAAAATGGGGCTCAGGAAACCAGCACAAAATGGGGTTTGCCATGGAAATGGCACCAAAACCAGGAAATCAGCAAAAATGGGGTTTGCCAAGGAAATGGCACCAAAATGGGGCTCAGGGCACAGAAACCAGCAAAAATGGGGTTTGCCATGGAAATGGCACCAAAACCAAGAAATCAGCAAAAATGGGGTTTGCCATGGAAATGGCACCAAAATGGGGCTCAGGAAATCAGCACAAAATGGGGTTTGCCATGGAAATGGCACCAAAATGGGGCTCAGGGTACAGGAAATGACAAAAATGGGGTTTGCCAAGGAAATGGCACCAAAATGGGGCTCAGGGTACAGGAAATCACAAAAATGGGGTTTGCCATGGAAATGGCACCAAAATGGGGCTCAGGACACAGGAAATCACAAAAATGGGGTTTGCCAAGGAAATGGCACCAAAATGGGGCACAGGGAATCAGCACAAAATGGGGTTTGCCATGGAAATGGCATCAAAATGGGGCTCAGGAAATCAGCACAAAATGGGGTTTGCCATGGAAATGGCACCAAAATGGGGCTCAGGAAATCAGCACAAAATGGGGTTTGCCATGGAAATGGCACCAAAATGGGGCTCAGGAAATCAGCACCAAGGGGGTTTGTCATGGAAATGGCACCAAAATGGGGCTCAGGAAATCAGCAAAAATGGGGTTTGCCAAGGAAATGGAACCAAAATGGGGCTCAGGAAATCAGCAAAAATGGGGTTTGCCAAGGAAATGGCACCAAAATGGGGCTCAGGGTACAGGAAATCACAAAAATGGGGTTTGCCAAGGAAATGGCACCAAAATGGGGCTCAGGAAATCAGCAAAAATGGGGTTTGCCATGGAAATGGAACCAAAATGGGGCTCAGGAAATCAGCACAAAATGGGGTTTGCCATGGAAATGGAACCAAAATGGGGCTCAGGAAATCAGCAAAAATGGGGTTTGCCATGGAAATGGCACCAAAATGGGGCACAGGAAATCAGCACAGAGTGGGGTTTGCCATGGAAATGGCAGCAAAATGGGGCTCAGGAAATCAGCAAAAATGGGGTTTGCCATGGAAATGGCACCAAAATGGGGCTCAGGGCACAGGAAATCAGCAAAAATGGGGTTTGCCATGGAAATGGCACCAAAAAGAGGAAATCAGCAAAAATGGGGTTTGCCATGGAAATGGCACCAAAATGGGGCTCAGGAAATCAGCAAAAATGGGGTTTGCCATGGAAATGGCACCAAAATGGGGCTCAGGGTACAGGAAATGACAAAAATGGGGTTTGCCATGGAAATGGCACCAAAATGGGGCTCAGGGTACAGGAAATCACAAAAATGGGGTTTGCCATGGAAATGGCACCAAAATGGGGCTCAGGACACAGGAAATCAGCAAAAATGGGGTTTGCCAAGGAAATGGCACCAAAATGGGGCACAGGGAATCAGCACAAAATGGGGTTTGCCATGGAAATGGCATCAAAATGGGGCTCAGGAAATCAGCACAAAATGGGGTTTGCCATGGAAATGGCACCAAAAACAGGAAATCAGCAAAAATGGGGTTTGCCATGGAAATGGCACCAAAATGGGGCACAGGGAATCAGCACAAAATGGGGTTTGCCATGGAAATGGCAAAAATGGGGCTCAGGGCACAGAAATCAGCAAAAATGGGGTTTGCCAAGGAAATGGCACCAAAATGGGGCTCAGGAAATCAGCACAAAATGGGGTTTGCCATGGAAATGGCACCAAAATGGGGCACAGAAATCAGCAAAAATGGGGTTTGCCAGGGAAATGGCACCAAAATGGGGCTCAGGAAATCGGCACAAAATGGGGTTTGCCATGGAAATGGCAAAAATGGGGCTCAGGGCACAGGAAATCAGCAC